TGGGGTTTGTTGTTGGGTGTTTGTTGTTGGTTTTTAGGGGGGGGGGGGGGGGGGGGGCACCAGCGGAAGGTGTGGACTTACAGTATTTAGTAGACCACGGAGTTGTGGTCGTGGTTCCGGTTTTCGGTGTTGTGGCTGCTGCTGCTGCTGCTGCTGCTGCTGCTGCTGCTGCTGCTGCTGCTGCTGCTTTTTGATGTTCTCGTTTGTGCTTTCAGTAAGTAGCTTTAGCTTTTGTTCTTGCTTGCCGTGAAGCGTAAGGCAGAGGAGGTTGTTGAGATTGACCAGGATCGTTTTCCATGTGAAGACCCAGGAATTAGATACCATAGTAGTCTTATCCAAAACCTATGCCAGACCAACGTACCAGCAACAATGTGGTAGTCATTTTGATCAGGTGCCAATCGTTGGTCCACCAACCGTTCGTCCTCCAACGTTGCTATGATTGATCTGCTATTCCTGTCGTTTTCAATTTTCCTTGTTGTCATTTTTTTTGCTAACAGGATACGCTTCTGATGGGGAACGGCAGGGACTCGACGAGCTAATCGTGCAATCGTTGGAGCTACTCGCAGCCTCCGCGGGTACGCGCAATGTGTCCGGTTTTTTTTTTTTTCATGTTTTCTAGCATCGACCACCGTGTGTGGCGTTTTGTTTTTCTTGAAGTAGCATTGACCGTGCAGACCGATTGGCCTTTCGAAAGACTTGGGACTAGCAATGGTGGACCCGCTTTCTTGGGTCCACCGTGTGTGTGTGTGTGTTGCTGTGTTCGCTTGTTCACTTTTCGTTGATCAGCCGATTAGCGCGGTAGATTAAATAAATCACGACACACTCGCGTGCACACATTGTATTTTCGTACATGTATGCCTTTATTGGGTAAGTTAGCCTGTGACCACTGGAATCGAACGCGTCAAGTTGTTTGACTAGTTGGGACAAAGAAGGTACTGGGTAAAGAGATCAGAACGGTTTTTATTGTGAAGACGACAACAATAACAACAACAACAACAACAACAAACAACAACAACAACAACAACAACAACACACACCACACCAGTCGGCGCCCACGCATGACACGAAATACTTGCTGCGTAATGTGTAGAGCGTCTCGTCGTTTTCGGGGTAGAGCTGCCGCTAGGACAAGGACCATGCTGGTCGTCGACTGCTCCCTGGGGGCTGCTTGCCTGCTGCTCAAGTTTCGCTCCTCGCCGCACAGACCGCTATCTTGTCCCCCTCCCCCCGGAACGATTGGCCGTCGGTGATCATTCCTGCGGGAACAATGCTCCGTCCTCTCGAGGACGCGCGGTCAATGGTCTAACAGCTGTAAGGCATGTGAAACATGAGTAAACGCCCCCCCCCCCCTCCAATTTTTGTGTTTCGCCATTTTCAGCCTGTCCGGACCCGCAAGTGTCGGGCTTGCTCGGAGGGGAGGGTGCCGGAGTGGGATCGCTGTTAGCGGTCGTCATCAGGTGCGCCATTACAGTAGTACAGCAGTTGCTCGACTAGACCTACCGAAGAGCTCCCTTCTTAGGATCGTCGCAACACACGCATGCGTAGCGAGGCGTGCGATTTGTTGGAGATCTTCGGGGGGTAGGCAGAGAGAGCCCTCCCCCCCTCCCCCATCCATGCAGCCATGCTATGATCGCCCTCGAGATGGCGGTCTCGAATGCCGAACTACGTTACCCCCCGCCCCCCCCTCCCTTCTCCTGGCCGCCTTGCGGCCCGGCTACGCGTGGGAATTCCACCGCCACACGGCGGCCTGTCGACCACGTTTTGTTTTGCGAGCGACGCAGCACCGCCAAGGATGCGTGGACCAGCGGGGGCGCGACGCCCCATTTCACGCACGCAACCACGTCAAGTGCCTCCGTCGGCGCAGCCTCCCGTGGAGATTTTTTCGTGATGATTGTCGTAGGTGGAGGTTTACGTGCATACTGCTGTATACCAATGTGCAAACCACCGCCGTAAAGTGCAGCCTACATCGAGCACGGTTCGAAAGAGCAGAAGACCGCCGGACACAACACCCGTCCCCGCCATCACCAACGACAGCTCAACTCTACCGCCCAACAACTAACTCCCTTTCTTGATGTGTGCAACCGCCCCCCACAGGTACTTGCAACTGCCCAGCGAGAGCTGCGCCCTCTGGCGCGACAGCCCGAACGAGTTCGTCGTCGCCGAGTTAGAGGAGGGGGAGGGGGACGAGGGGGACGGGGGCGGCGGGGGGGCAGGGGGAGTAGGCGGGGGCGCCGGGCGCCACCCTGTCTCGACGGCGAGGTCGGCGGGGCTAGCCTTGATCCGGGACCTGTGCGAGGCGTTTCCGGATAAGGTTAGGGAGCACCGCCGATTCGCAGCGGCTGGAAGAGTTGCATACCGTATGCGACAAAAGATGACACGCCCCCCTGGACCGATTTTCAATGCTCGATTTCTTAACAGTAGAAAGAGTCATAGCGCCCCAAAACGGAGGCGTTGAAGCGTCTGATCGAGAGCTCTCCGAAAACGTATCGTTTCGTTTATGCATCCTCTTCGTCGTCGAGTAATTGAGCTTTGAAAATCGGTCCAGGGGTTGTATTATCTTGTGTCGTATCCGGTTGTCGATTCGGAGGTGCACGAGTTCGTCGATTTGCAGCTACAAGATTTAGTCGATTCGCATCGAAGGTGCGTAAGTTTTGTTGAATTGCAGCTGCAAGAGTTCGCCCACGTTTTCCACCCTCATGTTTTTTCAAGAGTTTATCCGCAAAGCGGCCGCTGCAGTTGTGTAGGCGGGGCGTGCTCATGTGTTACATGCCCTATTTGTTAGACCATTGACCACGCTTCCTCGAGAGGATGGAGCGTGAGAAGGGGGGGGGGGGGGGGGCAGGATTAACGTCTCGGGGCTTTTGGGGCTCGATATGTCGTTCGCCCTTACTTCATGTTGGCTCTTTTCGACTCCGAAGATATACTGAGTCCTTTTGGCTTTAAGTTTTGGTTCTGTACCTGAGTATGCGCGGGTGTGGTTTGAGAGTTGGGCGAACCAGAGAACTGTGGTGTGGTCTGAGAGTTGGGCGGACCCGCGAAAGATGGCGGGCTAGCGAGCGAGCCGGCAAAGTCGGTGCTCTTTGTCATGTCTACTCCTGCGGCTGAAAATGTGCCATTCCCTGCACGCTTGAAAACAAGTTTGGGGTTCCTTCGCCGTCCTTACCTCCGATCTCGGTGTGACTGTTGATGTGTCAAACGGGCTGACCACCTCTCTCTCTCTCTCTCTCTCTCTCTCTCTCTCTCTCTCTGTTTCTCCCACTCTCTCTCTCTCTCTCTGTTTCTCGCGCTCGTGGTTGTGGTAACCAACTCAGGCGGTGCCGGCCCTCATCGCCGAGGCGAAGTCAGCACTCGTGGACTCTTCCTCCTCGTCTTCTTCCGCTGGCGCCGGTGGGGGGGACGGGGAGGCTGGAGCAGCCACGTCGGCGGCGAACAACAACATCCCAGCGGCGGCAGATGTTGTCCCTCCAGCCGTAGCGGCGGCGGCGTTGTCGGCTAGACGATGGCGTCTTCGAGAAGCTGCCCTGCTGTGGTAAGTGAAAGCCCAAGCCCGTGAGTGACCACGGCCTAAGCCTCTCTCCGGTTGGATCTTTGTATATTTTGTATGAAGATTTTTTTATTATGGATTTGGATCTTGATCTTTTTTTGAACTGTTGTTGTTTTTTTTTAGGTAGTTGTGTATGGATCTTGGGTCTTTGGATCTTTGGATCTTTGCAAAGATCTGGATGTACCTGGCGTCCCTAAATATGCTTTTTTTTTGTGCATGTGGACTACAATAGTACTGCTGTGCAGTTTCGTTTCCGTCGCTGAGATCCCGAACCACTGCCCCCCCGCTCTGCTCCTGCCCCCAGTCTCGGCGTAGCGTCGAAGCCCATCACCCGCCAAGTGAAGAGACGATGCCCCCTTGCCGTCAAATTGAAGAAGGAGCAACAAAACAACAACAACAACAACAACAACAGCGGCAGCGGCGGCGGCGGCGGCAGCAGCAGCAACGCCAACGGAAATCACGCCTCGTCGTCGTCGTCATCGTCGTGCTCGAACGCTGCGGACAGGGGGGGCACGCGAGGGGGAGAGGGGGCCGGGGGGGGTGCGGGGGCAGGGGGCAGGTGCAAGCACAAGTGCAAGCACAGCAAGGCTTCGTCGTTTTCTCCCGGCACGCTCTGTCGGGGAGCGAGGGGCTTAGGTTTGGATCTGGGCGGCTTCCAGGCAGTCATCGTTGCTGCCGCGGAGGTGAGTGAATCATTCAGGGGGCCCCGCACCGTTTCTTGTGTCTCCTCGGGCGGGGTGGGATGGGGAGGGGGGGTGTTGCTGCAGGTTGCGTCGACCCCCCGTGAAACGCCGGCTGAGCAATAGCTGTAGGACAAGCCGTCGCGAAGCCCGGTTCTATTCTGCGGGTCCCCCACTGTGTGAATATGACGTTTGTTGGCGGGACATCCAAAACTGTTATTTGCCACACACAGTTTGTCGGCAAAGGGGCATCTACCGCTGGTTGTGTGACTCATTCTTGCTCTCGGTGTTTGTCGCACACCCGTTGTGCGTCAGTGCTCATGAAAGCAACACCATCTTTTTTTATCGGTCCCCTTTCCCTCTGTGCCCTTCTCATTGGAGCAACTTTGTATTTTTTTTGTGCTCCCGTTCCCTTTGTGCCCTGCCCATGAATGCAACAACTTATTTTATTTTTTCCTTGATTCTTGCTTCTTGCTTTTACAGCAACAATGTATGTTTTGTTTGTTGAGTTTTTGCTTCGTGCTTGTACGGCAACAACGCAAACGCGCAACACAGGGCCGGAGCCACCACCCTCAAGAGGTCAGCAGCCCCTTCGTGCACGCGAGAGGCCTGTGGGCCACGGCGAGGTTCGCGTCCCTCCTCTCCGCCGAGGGGGTCTGCAGGTCGGCGGAGGCCTGCTCTCTGGCCATGGGCGAGGGCCGACCGCTGTGCCTGCGGCTCCACGCCTGCCGAGCACTGCGGGTGCTGGGACAGTGAGTTTTTTTTTGCTTGTTTGTTTGGAGCGGGTACCGAAACGTTGTTTTTAGTGGTTAGACCTCTCTCCGGAGGGGGTTAAGAAATCACTGCGGTTGTAGGGGGTAACATGCCAAAAGCACACAGAGGACAAACAGGTGTTGAATGCATACTGATATGCAATGCCTACTTACAATAAATGGGTTTGCGCAATGTTTGGGGGCTCGGCGCGAGCTTTTTCGTCGATGAAGATCCTTCTCGAGGAATTTTTCTCCAAGAACAAGACGAGAACAATTTGTTGTTTCGCTCTCGTGCAGATCACTGGAGAGGGCGTCCGACCCTCGCACCTAGAGCTCACCCTCCTCTGCGCCTCTACACCTAAGATTCGCTACACCTAGAGAGTGAGCTAACAGCCTCTGATCAGTGTCCTGATGATGTTACGTAGAATTGGCCAGCCGTGGTGACATGTCGCTGTTGCTTTGATGAAGCTGGCGTCCTTTGCCGGGCTATTCGACACGACTGGCCCGACAGCCCAACAAGAATCAGTGCACAGTCTTCTTCCAGCCCCCAAAAAAAATTCTTGAGATTCTTGGGAAGGGTTTACGAATCGGTTCTTTAAGTCTTACAACGAACCTCAATACATATATTTTGTTTTGCTTCTGGGGTGTTGTTTTCTTGGGTTGTTTTGTGTGTGTTTGTTTTGGGTATCGAAGCGTGACGCGTGCGTTTGTCAACCGGTCGTAGAGGTGCGTAGATCGGCCGCCGAGAAAGGCTATCCGATGGCGGCGTGTGTGCAGCACGCGTTGCTTCAGTTGCACGCGCACTAGGGTAGTACCAGGCACGCCAACCTTGTCATAAAGAAACCTGGCCATGATCGACACGACGAGGCGGTCCACTGCTCAACGACGATTTCGGCGATGCCCCCCCCCCCCTGGAGATATACACATCACGGACACGTCGTGAAACCTTCCAACAAGTTACTAAACAGTCTCTTCTTGCTGGGGTAAACAACCGTTACCGTTCCTCCCCCTACGCGATAACAACAAACCCCTTGCTGGGGCAAACAACCTCTACCGTTCCTCCCGCTATACACACTATCTCTCTCTCTCTCTGTGTCTTTTTTTTTGTGCTCTTGACCGCCAGGTACAGCGCCCGCATAGCGCGAAGAGGAGGGTTTTTCGGCATCAAGAGGGGGGCCGGGAAGGCGCTCCTGGGGTCGAGGGTGGGCGCGGCGGCGCGGGCGGCGGTGACAGCGGCGCCCGGGCTGGCCGCCTGCTGCGAGGAAGGGACCGCGCACTTTGCCCCAGAGACCATGACTCAGGTGTGGTGTGTGTGTATTTTCTTTGTGTGTGTCTTTCTCATTGGCATCTGCTGCCCGCTAACCGACTGGCCAATGACAAGGGGCCTGTGTGTGTGTGTGTTTGTGTGTTTGAATTAGCATCGACCTCGCTAGCCGGCTGACCAATGAGCAGGCGTCGGTGCCAGCTGTTGTAATACCAAGTGTGCCTTGGCATGCGTCTCCCATGGTAACACCATCGCCTTGTACTGGATCGCCTTCTATTCGCTTTTGCGCTTTAGGGAAATTGCTACTATTATATGTGTAGCTTCATCAAGGCCTTCCCGGTACAACATCTCTTTTTTGACCGCGTGTCTGCGCTGTTCTCTTGGGTCGTATCGTATCTGAGATAGATGAGGAATGAAGTCATTGTATCAGCGAAAGCACTACCTGCGGTTCTACCATTCCCCCGAGCGCCACCACTTAAGAAGCTCTTCTGTTGGCGGGCGCTTCTTTCTCGTTTTGTTTATAGGGGTTTCCCCACAGCGTCTATGCGTGTTATTGTAGGGGTAGTCTTCTTGACTGAGAACCTGTTATTTGCGGGGGGGAGGGTTGGCCAAGTTTTTACTTGAGTAGAAGTTTTTAGGCTCAAGTTCTTGACTGCTGGGTTCTCAAGGGCCTGCAGACAAGCAATCTTGATGTTGACTGAATTTGAAGTACTAGAACATGCGAGCACCAGAAAAACGCAAACGAGACACACCACACAAGACCAGGCAGAAGGCTTCGGGAAAAACAGAGCTCGTCAAATCTCACACAGGGCGGCAGTAGAGGCTGCTCAAGAGCTACATTTCACGCGTCTACCTCCGCACGCCCTCTTTGAAATCATGCTAAGATTTCACACCACTCTAAATTCGAGTCAGAAGGGCCAGCATCGCAGGCGCTCAAATATGGTAATTTTTTCGTTAGACCTTGCACATCTACTGATCTTACTAGCGGACACCCAATTTTGTAGCAGCGGGGTGTGTGTGTTGGCGTGCTCAAATTGCGTTTCTTGGATGGTGATACCGGGTCGTAGTACATACAGTAGTGGCCTACAATCTCCTGAAATTAGACCAAATTTGACCGACACCCAGTGTCTTACTGCTTGTGCTCGCCGTCATTAACACCAATCTCCTCAACTACGTGTTTTCTGCAGTAGCTGATGCCACTGTTAGCTGACACCAATCTCCTCAACCATGTGTTTTCTGCAGTAGCTGATGCCACTGTTAGCTGACACCAATCTCCTCAACCATGTGTTTTCTGCAGTAGCTGATGCCACTGTTGGCTGACACCAATCTCCTCAACCACGTGTTTTCTGCAGTAGCTGATGCCACTGTTGGCTGACACCAATCTCCTCAACCACGTGTTTTCTGCAGTAGCTGATGCCACTGTTGGCTGACACCAATCTCCTCAACCACCTGTTTTCTGCAGTAGCTGATGCCACTGTTAGCTGACACCAATCTCCTCAACCATGTGTTTTCTGCAGTAGCTGATGCCACTGTTAGCTGACACCAATCTCCTCAACCACGTGTTTTCTGTAGTAGCTGATGCCACTGTTGTTAGCTACTGCTGACGACATACGGTCCGTGACGGTGAGCACGGCTGTGACAAATGTTGGGTTCCGGCGCAGATCACGGACTGTTTTCAGGGACTGCTGGGACCTTTGATGTTTCAGCTTCAGCAGCAAACCTGAACGTGCCAGCACACAGCAGTAGTGCCTATTCATGGTGTCCTCTACTGATACCTGGAGAAAGTGGCACATCTAAACGGCGGGAAGTGTGTTTTCTTTTCTTTATATCGAATTCAAGCATGAAAATAGAACCAGCGTCAAAAAGCTCGTCTTCAGCCACTGACGTGGTGGCGCGTTCTGTCTATGGAGTTTTTTTTCTTCTCATGTTTTTACCGCTCGATGTCGTATCTTTGATCTATATCTTGGTTGTTCGTGGTGCAGCTGGTGAAGGCCTTTCCCGCGGAGGCGGTGGCTGCAGGCGGGGATCTGGTGCTGATGCAGCTTTCCATGAGCTTGTGGCGGAGGTACCCGTCCGACCCGTTGGTGGTGGAGGTGAGAGGAGAAGCAAGAGAGGAGACATATGATATGCTAGTGTCGTTGTTGTTGTTGTTCCTGTTGTTGTTGTTGCTGTTGGATACCATATGTCGTTACTGGCTGGCTGCTACCGTGTGTCGTTTCTGGCTGGCTGCCTCGTTGTCGTGCGGAATAACTGGCGAGCGAAGGGTTGGGTAGAACCGTTTTCGCCCTGATCTGCTCAAGAAACATGTTGTTATTGATGGATACCGTATGTCGTTACTGGCTGGCTGCCTCAATGTGGTGCGGAATAACCGGTGAGCGAAGGGTGAGGTAGGAACGTGTGCCCCCCTTGTGAAGTACTTCTATAATCTATGCCTTAGATGTACCCCGCATTCAACCCCCAGTGACCCGCACGTCATCCGACGAGTTTTGCGCGGTTCCTCTCCTACAATAGTAGAACAGAAATCCATGTTCAATGCGGGCGATGATGCCGTCGGGCGGCGCCCCTTCCCATGTTGAGTTGTTGTCCCTGCCAATGGGATCTGTTGCGCCGTTTGTATTTCGTCGCTTACTTCAAGGCCGGTCCGTTCCATACATACCTATTGCTGTGTATTTTGTCCCAGTTATGTCATGCCTGGATTGTTTGTGTGTTACACGCCCGCCGTGCAACGTGACGTGATGGCAGGCCGTGGAAGACCTTATGCTAGCGCTTACCCGCGTACCCCAGGCCGTGCCCCGGATGACCGAGACACTGGTGCCGCTATTTCGAGAGGTAGGCTTGTTTCCCTGCACTCCTTAACACCTCTTCCATTTTTTTTTTTCGTTTCCATCGTTTGTCATGGGTTGCTTTGTTGTATTTTTTCTCGAAACCTTGCATGCCGTACTGCGTAGGGGAAGGTCGGTGCGTTTCTCTGTACGAATAGTAGAGATACCTTGCTTCGAGAAGAATCAATAATTGAAGCATCGTGCCGTTTACCTTGAAGCATGGTAGAACACCACCTGCCCCGCGGGCGAACTCTTCTTAGACTCGAATTATTTTTTCATGTGGCTCAAATCGTTGGTCCCCCCCCCCCTAAAGTAGCCTGGTCCGGTGAGAACCCGGCGTGCTCCGTCCCGGCTTTGTAGGGATGCGAGCTCAATGGTCTAACGACTACAGCATGCATGACTATGAGTAACCCCCCCCCCCCCGGCCCCGGCCCCCCCCGGCCCCGTCCCCGGCCCCGGGGTTCCGCCATTCGGGTTGGGTTTTCGGCGCTTGGGAAC